AGCCTGTATTAAAATATTCTATTAAACTCAACCAAGCATGAATATTAATACTCCTACAGGTGAAAAAGGTATCGAATTTCTCAGGAGATAAACATATTAATCAGTTTTGCAGGACATGTTAGTAATACATGCCCAAGCATGTATTGACTTTAATAGAATATTTTAATACAGGCTATAATTAGCTTACAGCAATGTTTATTTCCCAAACCGGTTTGACATATTTTTACAAATGGCCAATCACGTGCGAAATTCAAATTCTGAACCTAATCAAGTGTGGAAGTGGGATTTGCAATCGATGTCACCCTGGGCCTTACACAGCGGAGGAGAGGGGACGGCAGGGGGAAACTGCCTTCCTTAGATTGTCATTATTAATTATACTTTGCATATTTTGGACTTTTTTCAACATATAAGCCTTACTGCCCCCTTGGTGATACGGCCCTGATGTGACCAGAGGCTCTCCGTTCTCACATCTTGTTTCTTTCACCTTGCAAAGAGCCTCTGGAACCAGGGTACTCTTAAAGTAACACACAGACAGAGCAAATAATATAATGCTTTTAAAAATCTTCAATTTCAAAAGAGGCAGTAAATTGGTAGGGAAATCTTTCAATAATATCCTGTGGTTATGGTAAACTATGTACCGGTACCAGACAATATAAATCCCTGCCTGCTCAAATCTAGGAAGTGTGGGGGCCATTGGGCAAAGCAGGGTCACTGAGGGCCTGTTTATATGATCCTGCCTAGACGAAATGTTTTCATCCCGCCTAGATGGGAAATTCGCCTAATGTTTATATGGACAAAATACATTGCCTGGATGAAGCCATTTAAGTGAGCTTGACGTCATATTTTTGTTGCAATAAAGGCATTTACGCATGCTCAAAAGGGAAAAGTTCATCCCACCTAGCTGGGATGAAGTGTTTATATGGGAATTTTTCGTTCCAGCTAGGCGGGATGAAGTGTTTGTATGGGAATTTTTCATCTCGTTTAGGCGGGATCCTGGCATCTGTTGCCGAGATCACGCCTAGGCAGGATAAGTGGCAGGATCATATAAACACTCTTTAGAATTTGTATTATGAGCGGGATCTCGGTAAGCACCCCGTCCGCCTGGCCGGGATCATACATATATAAACAGGCCCTGAGACAAAACCAGATATTTACACATTCCAGCAATTTTGATTATGCAGTGCTGGCTGCTGAGAAGTAAAAACTGGCAACTTCTGGGTTGGGGGAGGTGGTAATTTACATTGACTGGTATTGTACACTAAATAGTTATGGGGTGCTATGGCTGCCAGTTCTGTGTCTTTAAAAGGACTGCTAATTCTAAACTGCAGTGATTCAAAACATTGTCCCAGCATGTTCTAGAGATTATGAGTACATACTCATATTTTGGAACAATTTCCAAGGACAAACTGACTATAAAGATCTGTATAAATTTCCATCATAGAAAATGCAATTCACCTGCCTGCAAAAAGGTTAATCCACTTGGAACGTTTTCCGTGGTTGTGGACATTCATTCCACATCGAATGCATCCGCGATCAACATCAGCGATTGCCCAGTTTGTCAAGCAACAACGTTGGCAAATGTTGAAGCTCTTGGAAGGCCTTGGAAAGACAGCAAATATTAACGCTGTTTGCCTCGGCGACTTGCTTTGGAGAGGACGAAAGCGACGAAGAAATTGAGGCAGCCGATGATGATGAACCAGAAGACGAACAGAACGAAACCCTCGTGAACAGTTTGTTAGCAAAAATAAGCATTTCGCGAAGGTCTGACAATCGCCATTTTGCCAACCGGATATGTACAGAAATGAGTGTGAGTAGTGTGTATGAGTCATGCGATACTATCCTGGATCGTTGTGACGCATTTCCGATGCGAGATCAGATGATATAGGTAATATTTAAAAATATTTCGGCTGTGGTGAGGGGAAAATAAGTTTAAACTGCCAAATCTACCATTTTTTTTATGCATGTGTTAAGATAGTGCAAGTGGGAGTATGCTATTTTACGCGCGTTAAAACAATGTTATTCAAACATAAATATTTCGCGTTCTAGATCGAATTTAAAAAATCCCCCCGAGGAAATTAAAGAAGAAAGCATGCTTTATCAGAATTTCTCAGTTTTGGAGTAAAAAGTTTAATATCGAATGTCACGGAGGGCGTAGAACAAGGTGTTATTTTCTCACTCCTTTTGTTTATATGTTTCGAATTTCAAGCATTCTGATTGGTCAAGGACGCAAAATGTAAAAAAACGCGCTGATTGGCTAACATTATTTGCCCTTGTTATACACAATATATATATACACTATATACTCTTGGACATTCACTCAAACACACACTATATACACTTTATACACTTTTGACTATATATACTGATAATATACGTATATTGTGTATATAGCTATATACACTTTATACACAATATACACTATATACTCTTGGACATTCACTCAAACACTCACTATACAGTATAATATACACTTTATACACTTTTGACTATACATTGTCTATTGCCACTATTTATATAGGCTGCAGAATATACACAATATATCCTACATGTCTAAGTGTATACATATACGCAATATACAGACTATTCTGTATATATATATATATATATATATATATATATATATATATATATATATATATATATATATATATATATATATATATATATATATATATATATATATATACACTATTTACACAATATATATAAAGTGTATATTCTGCAATATCGGGCCTTACTCCCCCCAACCAACACCCCACTATTGCGAATAATATCTACCTGATTTACTCACACGCGCAAGCAAACAAAACTAAATGGTTAAATTTACACAACAGAGGTAGTCCGAAGATTGTTTGTAAACTCTGGTATAAAACTCTGAGTTTGTTTTGAACTTTGTTTCACAAATATTGTTGTACGTGCACTTCGTTTCATATGGGACAGTCAATTCAATCACGTGCCAATCCGTTTTATAGCGAATCGTAATATATAATATATTTGTAGCGAATAATATAGTTGTAAAATATATTTGTAGCGAATGATAATAATCTTTTATTCCTTTCTTTATTACATTTTTTAGTGAACTCACTGTTGTGTTAATTTCAAAAGTGTTTCTGAAAAAAAATAACCATGGGATGGAATAAAAAATCAAACCTGGCTCAATATGGTCAGGGGAATTGGGACAATTTTGTGAAAAAAACTCGCAACACCACCTCTGAAGAAGCAATGCGTATTGCCTTCGCCAATCCAGAGATCACATTCTTTTTCTTTTGCCGGGAAACCATTATTCTTGATCGTCCTCCTGCTTCACAATATGGTCCCTTTGAAGCAGGAGACGCGGTGTTCTTTAAAGGAGAACCGTGGTATGGTAATGCTCCGCAATGTGATTCATATGAGAAAACACCCATCTCAACTGTCTATATAAACCCACTAAATAATCAGCAATTTCAAGATATCACTACCTACGTATTGAGGGATGGCACTCCTGCAATTGATGTTGTCTGTATATTTGCCGCAAATTATGCCACTAATACCATCCCGATGCTGCGCGCCAACAATAACTATCCGCCCACGAAGAATCCATTTAATGCCAATATTCAGGACGTTTTGTTATCTGGATTAGTGAAAACTCTGCAGAACAAAGGTATTATATTATGGTATGAACTATAATGTTTGGGTTATGGTTCGGTAACCTCGATCGTTCGGTTAGGCTTAGATTTCAACCTTCAGTATACAGCATAGTAAAGTGAATACCCGCAATTGGCTTAAAATTTCTTCATTACACAAAATTGTTCTTCGGAAACAACTTGTATAAGCGCTGAAGGAAATTTTATATTATCATGACTATTATTCTCAATTAACCAATCATGCAATTTTATCCCTAAGCGTAAAAAAGACTCGAATGACAAAAAGCCTACGTACAAGTTACCTATTGACCAATACCGTTACCCTTAGCCATATATTTGCATTCATTCGATCCGTTCTGACAGTACATTTCTCATCTTTGATTTATTCTCCCATAACACCGTTTTAATTTGTATTTCCCTCGCAACCTTGTCAGGTTCCTTTTCGCCGAATAATATCCTCTTAATATTATCAGAATAATATCCGAATAATTTCGCTCTAATATCCTCTTTTAGCTTCTTTATCCCTCCTTCCATTCATTCATTCATTCATTCATTCATTCATTCATTCATTCATTCGATCACCGTTGATGTTACTCGTACATCAAACCCTTCTCTCTCTCTTATCCCATAACCCGTCTGCTGGTACTTTTGTATCGTTTCCGATAGTTTATCCGTCTTGTCAATTTCATTCGGACACGCCATATCAATGGTGAACATCCTTTTATTTTCTTGATCGTCCAAAGTGAAAAAAAAGGAAGGTGCAGCTTCTTGCAACGCACATCATCCGCACTCGGTGTTCCCAATCCCAGCAGAAGTTCTTGCTATCCCTTTTTACTACTTTCCCTTTCTCCTATTTTTCGTTCTATCATTTCATGTTTTGAGGAAGGTGTTCTCATAGTCCAATTGTAGAAAGATTAACCGTGTCTTCTCCTTCCTCCTTCCTTCCAAGATATATACAGTCTGTCAACGTTATTCCTCGGATGTAATTCATACATTGTGAATCGTTTTCTTGTCCTTCTAACCAGTTCTTCCAATCCTTAATGAGGATATTGGGCAGGGGTCGGTTGTATAAAACGTAGTTAGCGCTAATTGCAGTTAAAAAGTAGTTAAAGAAGTAGTTAACTTTAATCACGTAGTTAAGCCGGTTGTATAAAAGTGTAGTTAGCCTTAACTGAAATTAAAAAGTAGTTAAAGTTAACTATGCTGTAGGATATAGTTAACTATCCAAAGCGTAGTTTAAAATGGCGCTTGTATAGGAGTAAACAACATTTTTCTGTAAAACAACAATGAAAAGCAACGCTTACCTTGGATTTTCAATCGCCATCTTCCCTGTGTATGTTTTCTGACAATATAAACTCTTCAAACGCTATCGCTTTGGTGTTTTTACGAAAACAGAACATATTTTTGCACAGGACGATTTCTCGAAGACGAAAAATATGGTCCATTACACCAAGAAACACTGATATATAATTGCCAAACAGCTACACCTTGGTTTAACGTAGACATCTCACGGAAAAACTGCATTCTTTTATGATTTTTGTGGCGGTTTTTCCTTGTTTTCTTGTTTATTTTTCACTGTTTTCTAGTGTTTTTCTTCCCGCCTATTTTCAAAATACGAGTCCACAATCATGTTAAAAATGCGTGTCAGCGGTCGTTAATCACTGCTTACTTTATGTAATTTTGTGTTTAAGCGTCCCACGCAAGCCCCACGCGCAGCTAACTACGTGATTAGTTAACTATACGACTAACTACGTTTTGTGCAACGCAATTAAGTTATCTAGTTAACTGATTACAGTTAAGGATTTAACAACAGTGATTAACGCTAACTACAGTTAGCGCTAATTACGTTTTTATACAACTGGCCCCAGGTATTTATTTTTTTATAAAATTCTCTCCACTCACCTTGTTTCCAAAATCTTTCTGACCCTACGCTTATATTTGTTGCTAATTTCGTTTTCATTCCTTACTTCCTGAACTCGTCTGCTTGAACCCATCTTAAGTACGCATAATCCTTCACCTTCATTCAATGATTCTGTCATCTGGCAGGTGTGTTCTATCCGACTTTACCAACTTTCCCCTCTAGTTAATTGTTTCATTAATACCAGAAACATTAAATCCGGGATTTGACAACCATTGCACTCACAAAGAGCAAAGATGATAGCGAATCCCCCTAAAATATCCCTCTCTTGATTTTCACTTCTCCTAGTACTTCTCGTTCACATGTTAACTCTACGCTCCAGAATTTAATCGTTTCCTCCATCGAGTCATTGCCTTTTGCACTTTCTCCACTGTAATTTCTACCCTTTCCTGTGGTTGTGTGTCACTCATTGCTTGTCTAAATCTTTCAACCATTCTACGTCTTTAGTGCGTTTTTCTTTTCTTGATGGTCTAGACGTCAGTTTCATTTTTCCACCATGGTTATTTTCTGGGTGCTTTATTTCCTCTCCTTACCCCCATAACTACTGCGTCTACTTTCTTTGTAGTCTTTCAGTTTTTCTCTATTTATTCCTCTCAACGGCAGTCTTTCTCTTTCTTTTTGTAATATTTCTCCAACTTTTCAGTCACAACATCTCTGCTAGACCAAGTTCACACCCTTCGACTATCTTCAGCTAAGTTTTCTACTTTCTGCATGTGCATCCTACTTCCATAATTGCGGCCTACTTGTTACTTCTCCCCACACATCTCCTGTATATCCGTTATAGTGTAATCTGGGCCTTAACCCATCACAATCTAGAATCGAGTTGACTAGCCCAGATCAGGGCTTTCTCTTCCCTCCAGGTTGTGAGTAGCCCAGTGCATTTTGGCAGTTGATCATTAACATATCATTAACCCGCAGAAAAAACACGGTCAAATGCCTGCCCATAAGACCCTCTTGCCTCCGGAGCGGTGGCTCCATTGACATATGTAATTGGACTGCAGATGCATCCAAGAACTTGTCCCCAACTCAGTGTCCGCCATCTTGTTAGGTTCTCCGCAGAGATATTAACCATTTCTTTGGCTACCATCTTGCTAGTCCTCTACCATGCAATCAACCAATCAGCGTGCTAGAAATATCAAGAGGACATTTTTTACAAGATCAGAATATCAGAAACCGCAGTCCAGTTATGTAAACGTCAGTGGGTGGCTCAGGCATGTGCGACTGAGGCCGCGTTCACACCATGACGCCACGGCAAATTTACCATATCGTGGTATTTGCATCCGGAGTGCCAAACGTAGTGGTCCACAGTTAATACGCTACAGCAACCCATTCCGTTATAGTGTAAACATGATACTAAGAAACGTAGTGAATTTTTAACGAAATTCATTTGTATTTAGAATGACAAATGTTGTGGTCCGTAGTTAGTACGCTTCGGCAAACCACTCCGTTATTCTGTAAACACAATATAGTCTCAATACCAGAAACGTAGTAAATTTTTAACGGAGTGTTAGCCGTAGTGTCATGGTGTAAACGCGGCTTGAACTACAACTGAGAATATTCACGACGTTATTACAAAAAGGGCCCCAATTTTTCTATCTCATCTTTCCCTTCGTGTTCTTATAATATGAGAACATGTGTCGAACTGTGCGGCCGGTATTCCGCGGATCTCAGTAAATTGCCTGCCCTTTTTGAATTGATCGTACAGGTACGAAGTGTTTGAAAGCGGTGTTACCCGCAGATAGAGGTTGACAGTCTTTGAGTGCAGTCCAATTTTAAACGAAATAAAACTTGTTTATAAACATGCGTTGTAGATGAACAGCTATCTGAGTGAAGTAAAACAACCGAACATAAACTCCAGAAGAGAAGCTCAGTGTTATTAACGTTTAAAGACAGGCCCACACTGTTATGAAGCCTTCATCAGAATAAATGGAACATGTTTCATTCTTCCAATTCTCGGTAGTTTATACCGAGATTCTAAGTACTGCCTACGCAGTTCTCCACTTTATTAGATACTCAAGTGTTTGCCTTTGCTTTTATGCCTTGTATGCAACATCCAGGTAAACACTGAAAAAGTTTTCTAATGTTATATAGGTATCACTGTTTTGCTGACTATTATGGGTTCTCACACTGAAACCGGATGGTCGCAGTTTACAGATCAATCTACAGCCCAAAATTTTGTCGATTACCTTAATTCTCAAGTTGTCACACTTTACAGTTTGGATGGAATTGATATTGATGACGAATATAGCAATGGCCCTGTTAACAACAGCTCTTTAGCAATGGTCACAACATTGATGAAAAAAAGCATGCCCGGAAAACTGATTACCAAAGCGCTCTGGAGCGACCACGACCGGTTTACCGCAAATTGGAATGGCAATACTCTAGGTGCGAATCTTGATTACGGCTGGGAAATGAATTATTACTCGGGTGATGCCAATTTTCGACTTGGTTTTTATACTTCCTACATGAAAAAAAAACAGTTGTGTCTCGGTTTTTCTGCCGAACGTCGCTTTTCATCACAATGGAATCAGGTCGGTCCACAAGCCACCACGACCATTTCTGAAGGTTATGCTGGCGGAATGATGTTTGCCTACGAAAACCAACCAGATAGCATTGGTCTGATGAAAGCTATGATTGATGGCATGGATGGGCCTGGAAATTGGAATAAAGTTACAGCCGAAAATTTGAATAAGGATGTAGCAACCTCGTTTTCTGCTACCAAAGAAGTTGGGAATGAAGTCGAAACTCGAAACCGCGACTGCTGTATTATCGTGTAAACGTTCTTATATGAGTGGATAGAATATCAATTCCGCCATTGTAAATTCCTATGAAAATTAGCCAGCGAATTTTTACCTCGTTAGAAAATCTTACATGATAGATTTGCTAAGACTGATATGAACAGAACAATTCCCTTGTTTACATTTCAGTTATGACAATTAGTTATGACATTTAGTTCAACGACAATTGTACATAACTTTTATTTAAATATACAGGGTGTATAAAAAAATGTACACCCTTTCCGCAAATTTAGATTAGCCATAACCAACATAATACATAAACGATATGTGCTAATAAGGTGCATAATAGCGACCTAAGTTTAGGTTTTACTGAGATGGACAGATGAAGATAATTATATTATTAAATATATAGAGAACATAATACATGGTGCGCGGAAATAACACTATATAAAGCACTATAGTTTATATAGTAAAGATATATAATTATGTTGTTAAGGCCTACTCTGGGACTTTAACTCGCCTTAATTATATATAACTCGCCCTATCTCCCAATAAAAATTGATTGATTTTTGCTTAACTCGCCCAATCTCGCCTTATCTCGCAATGAGAAGTTGACAGATACTCGCCCTATTTTGCAATAAAAACCGGCACAGTTTCACGTCAGTAAAACACAAATACTGTCAATCAAAATTCTTTAGACTCGCACTACTTATGGCGGGTGATGTGTGTCAAAATTCAATAACACATTTGGCAATGATAACGTAACATTTTGCTACAATAATAACACATTTGGCAACGATAAAGTAACCTTTTGCTACAATTTTGTGGCGGTTACAAGATATTTATTAACAATAACAAAACATTCAATGACAAAGTATTATTTTGCAACAACGTATCGTTTTAATATTTTCCAACAATCGTACATTTGGCAAGTACAATCCCGTGATGCAATTGGGCACTAGCTCCAAATGGCGCGAAAACGGTGCATAAATGGCGCGTAATTATTTTCACACAAAATGGCGATCAAGAGATCGAAGAAAACGGAGTACGAACTGCTCTTATAACGCGATTGGAAATGTTATTGACTGATGTAACGGAATGCCTTTCAACAGAGCTTGATGATGTTATTGATCGTATTCGCGATTTTTCTGAAGACCTTTATCGATGCCTAGCAAATCTAATAGCACGAAATCCCGAAATTTACAGCGAATTGCTACATCAGGCCAGACTTCTCGTAGATGTCATACAACGTCCTATTTTGAATAATGAAAATTACGGACCGGAAACATTGGGAATCATCGTAATGTCAATGCCAGGTAGACCAAAATTTGAAATTTTGAGAGACCAGCTGCAGTATTTGCAGATATATTTTGTGGTGAATTGGCCACACCATCCAGTAGCTGTACAATTATATATCTAGCCTGTAGTAGAGATGACTGAATATCATCTGACGCCGAAGCTCTGTCATTTTCCGCCATGTTTACTTAAAAAAGCACATGTAATCCAATATCGCGAAAATGATTACGCGCCATTTCTGCACCGTTTTCGCGCCATTTGGAGCTAGTGCCCAACTGCATCACGGGATTGTACTTGCCAAATGTACGATTGTTGGAAAATAATACTTTGTTTATGTTGTTGCAAAATAATACTTTGTCATTGAATGTTTTGTTATTGTTAATAAATGTCTTGTAACCGCCACAAAATTGTAGCAAAAGGTTATTTTATCGTTGCCAAATGTGTTATTATTGTAGCAAAATGTTACGTTATCATTGCCAAATGTGTTATTGAATTTTGACACACATCACCCGCCATAACTACTCACTATATTCTATGTGTTTGGCATTGCAACTGACATCAACATACAAGTATGCATGTAAGCCTGATTATCTGAAATGTTATCATATTTTTTAATTTACTACATTCTATGTAATACCATAAAGCAGTATTGATCAAATAATACCACCAACTACTGTACTTTAATACAGTAAGCGGGGCTTAGCAGGCATATACAGTCAGGGCCTCTTTTAAGGATATGTAACTGGGTGGGACATCTTTCCCAAGGGACCAAAAATAACGTAAAAAGGGGACCTGAAAAAAATCTACTAAAGTCTATAAAATTGCGGCTACTAGCTTAAATATGGGTTTCGCTCTAGGGCAGCAGATGATGGTCAAATTTAGAAAATAATGTCAAGTTGTCAACACACCTTTTTCTCACTTATATATAATTGCCAGGCAGCTAGTGAAACTCATCTATACAGTATACCACTATATACATGTAATCTATCAATCAGCAGTCCGATGTAAAAAACTTCTTTACGAAGTCACGTTCCGCATATGAACTCAGATTAGGAAGATTCATTCGCCTCTGTTTTTTCTGTAGAAATTCTTGCACCATAGGACTGGGGTCAAACTGAGATGTTGGCACTCCATTCCAGTGAATCAATAGCCTATCATTCAGTGTTTTTTCAGATGTGGCCATTCTCAGGTTGGAGAATAACATGTTGTACGTTGACACACATCTTTCCACCGTCATACTGTGAGGGCAGAGAACACAAAAACCTGACAAAAACTTGGTCACAGGTTGTTTGCTGCCCCTTAGCATTTGGTAGAGTCTCACACCATAGTCTCTTGCAGGAATATGTGTATCAGGAAGCATTTCCGTAAAATTTTCTAAAACTGCATCAATAAATGCTTGTTTATCACTGATTCCACTTGATTCAAGTTGAGGTAATGCAATGTTGATGAATTCAATTGCACGTTTTGCTGAGGTCAAGTTGATAATGGTTGTTACAATTTCTGTTTGTTCCTCGTTGAGCCTGGTCTAAACATGATAATGATATACATAAAAAATATAGGTAATAGTAATTAAAAACTTTATATGGTGTGACCTGATTGCTAAACAGATATGAGATTACCTATTTATCTCATTTTACCTGGAGAAAATTCCTTGAAGAATCAATAACCTCTTGCCTGATAGGTTGTTTTCCTCTACGAAACGTTGTCACATTGGTGTTGTGTGTCCTTCTTGGTGTATTATCCACTGCTTCATCATTCTCTGGATGCAGTTCTGCAATCTTCTTTGTTAATAACTCCTCCTGCCCACCTATGTGCAGTAAAATAACATACAATGTAATGAATAATACACCTTTGTTAAAGAACTCAAATAAGAGTGAGTTCAATTTGTTTTCTATAAACAAAGTAACTTACTAACTATATATATTTTACCTGGATATGGCTCTGTTTGCATTATATCAAGTTTTTGCAAGGCAATATCTCTGTACTTCAAGATATCAGGAATGATAATGCCAGGCTTCTGGGCTTCTTTTTCAATATATCTGAAGATACAGCATGTGTCCACCATAACAGCAGTTAGCCATGCTTGCACTCCTGTTGGTTGCCACAACTTTAAAAATCCTTTTGCAGACGATACCTCCTTGGTATTATATTCTCGAGGAGCATCACAAATCTTTTGCCAGTGCTTTAAACATCCATCTAAATTGAATAGTATCGCTCCACAAAGTTGAACAAGATGTTGAGCAAACCTTACCTCATGATGAGGAGGAAAACTTCTCATGTCTGGTTTTATGGTCTTCAACTCCTTAGTCCTTAGGCCTGATGTGCGGTAATAAGTAGCTACTCCCGTTACATTGGAAAGCCAGATTTTCAGTTCAGGTACCAACCTAAGACATTATAAATGTTAACATTAATATAGCCTTATAATTTATTTTTTTATCTTTTTTTGCTCAGGGCTTCACTTAAAATCTCTTTTGTGAGTGGACTTCCTAATGAAATATTGTAATCATTATTTTATTATTATTAATTTATTATTATTACCTCATCACATCTTCCATTGCTAAGTCTGATCGGTGACATGCACACCAGATATTTCTTGTTGAACGACCAACATAATTTTCAACTCTAGCCCACAGTCCAGAATCCTTACCAGTGTTTGCAGACTCTCCATCGGTGCTCATCCCAACAAATTTTGACTGCAAACATTCTTTAGAAAGGCCCATGTCATCAAAACAGTTTGTCATGGCAGAACACAAACCTTCAGCACCACGCTTGGTACTTTCCCTTGCACTTGCAAATCTTGTCTTAATAGAAAGAGGGTCCTCGGGTGTATTGAATCGAACAAATATAAATTTCTTATCTTGTTGCCTAGCATCGACAGAACCATCCATTTGTGCAGCAAAACAAATACAGTTCTGGAGTTCTTCTCTAAGGTGCTTTCTCTCTGTATCTCCTATTATCTCCAACATTTCTGCATAATGCATTGGATCCCTATAATGAAGTTCCTCTCCACTTGGTTTAAACGGGGTAAAACTTTGTACGTTGTCACTGTCAGTTAAAGACCTAAACTGTTGTTGTGCATGTAAATTAGCAAGAGATCTACCTGGCCATGACCAGGCAGCTAAAGTCAAAGATTTACTGTCATTATAGACCTCTACTGCCATTTCAGTCAAGGTCTTCAAAACTGTTGGATCACTTTTTGTTGCCAAGTTAATAAATGGGTGACGTTTGTCTTTGGCATTCCACAACTTGGATAGCTGTTTCTTTTCTTGAGCTGCTCTATGTGAAGGCCCCAGTAGATGATCAATTACATCTTGTATCTTTTTCTTCCCATCACAACGCACACCTTGTGCCATGTACACTCTACCATTAGCTGAAAAGCGCTTTGCTTCCTCTTCGAATTCACCACAGATGCAACACTTGACAAAAACCCTAGCTTTCTGGCGATTCTGCGTTGAAACTCTACTTCGTTCATAATATTGAGATAGTACACCATCTCCAAATTTTCCTAGAAGTGCTTTTAGGTTTAATGGGTAGCCTCTGTAATACCCAGTAGTGGTTTCAGTAGTCATTTGCGTTGACGATGTGTTTGCTGTGCTTATTGGCAAACCAACGTCACTTGTTGTAACCAAAGTAATGCTGTTTATATTTGCAGAGCTTGTTGACGATAAGGTCGAAGGGGTAGTATTGCTTGGAATATTATTCGAAGGAGCCCGTGTATGAACAAATTGAACATTACCTTCCCTATCTGAATTTCGAATATCAAAATCCACTTCATTCAGTTCATTGTCTTTACGAGGTTCTCCTTGGTCAGTGCCTCCAGTAGCTGCAGTGCCTTGTACTTCGCTTTCCACTTCAATTGGCGCCATATTTAATAATTGTTCTGACTCCTTCTCAACGTTTGTATCGCACGATGTCGATGACGATGTTCTTGCATTTTCGTTCTTTGTGAAGAAATCCGATACCTTTTGGCATTTACTCGCTTCTTGTTTTAACAGTTTTTCAATATTCGCTTTTCTTTTATTTGCATACGGCATTTTTAATACTAATAGTACAAACAAAGGCAAGCAATTTGCATGTAAATTTTGATGTAAATTATGTTTTTGAAATTCCCAACTAAGCTTCCCGAATACCCCGAGATTTCCCCCAAAATCCCAATGTTCCCACTTTCGTTCCCAGTCCCACTTTGAAAAATATTTTTTTGCAGATCGAAATTTCCTATTTGACTATTTTTCTATTTTTCATTGTCCAGAAAGGGAAGGCAAAGGAATAGCAGAGATTCTGCGAAAGGAATACTGGAATAATGATTAATTATGTTGTCCAATATTGACTTTGGGAGTTATTTTCACACCAAAAAATATGAAAAGGGACTTTCTACTGGGGGGGACAAAATTGCCGACTGGGGGGGCAGTAAGGGGGGCTGGGGGGGCCATGTCCCCCCCAGTCTTTATGTTAAAAGAGGCCCTGTTTTACTAATGCAAGTTCTCAATGCTTGTACAGTGATGCGGAGCAGTGTATTAGTCAGTATTTTAAAGGAAAAGATCTATTCTTAACAACGTCCGTGTGGAATATATGTCGTGGAAATTGCTCCAGACTACCACCGAAGTCGCTTTTACAAATTCTGCTAATTCTCGCAGGTGATGTAGAATTATGTCGTGGACCTCGTATGAGATGTGGCGACTGCAAGAAATGCTTCCGAAGAAACACTGATAAAGTTTCATGTACCATCTGCAGTAATGTCTTTCATTTGAGATGTTTGTGTAAAGATATTTGCCGAACGTGTTTAACTAATGGCGGTAGTGAGATTCATCCCGAGGAGTATCGATTGCCGGAATTGGAAAGATTGTCAAATACCCGTGGTTTTAAGATCCTACATCAAAACATTAGAGGTTTATTTGGTAAAAAGGACATTGTTTCTGAGATTCTCGCAACCAATATCATAAACATATTTTGTGTTAGTGAAACGTTTATAACATCAGATACACCGGCGTGTTGTTTCAATATAACAGGATACTCCTATGAGCAAAAATGTCGTTTGAAAGGATCTGGCGGTGGAATAGGTGTGTATATAAAGGACGGGACTCCCTATACTCGGCGTTCTGATCTTGAAAACGAGAATATAGAGTGTATATGGCTAGAAATCTGCTTCCCACATGCAAGAAGCCTGTTAATTGGTATAATTTATCGACCCCCAAATACCTCTAACTATTTGCAAGATAATTTTAATCTTCTATGGGAAGACAATTTGATAACTGCCCTAGCGGAAAGTAAAGAAACTATTATCACTGGTGACATAAATTGTGATTATCTAAAGAGAAATGACAACTTGGAATTGAAGGAAATTTTCAGCTCAAATGGCTTTTCACAACTTGTAGACAAGCCGACGCGCATTACTGAACACGGCAAGACACTTATCGATGTTATTCAATCAACAAATCCAGAAACAATTGCAAGGGTTGAAGTTATTCCCTCGGGTTTAAGTGACCACGATATGGTTGGATGCGTTCGTAAATTAAACCATCATAAATTTCCTCCAAAGCTAATTAAATGCCGAAATTATTCAAGGTACAATCCAAATGATATGTGCTCTGAATTGTCTGAATCTACGCAGTGGGACAATGTGTATAGTCATTGTGATCCTAATCAAGCATGGCTTTCAATGAAAGATATACTTACTAGCATTATAAACAAATATGCACCGTTCTTCACAAAACGAGTTAAGGGGAAACCATGTCAATGGCTTTCAGCAAATACCAAGAAAGAAATGAATATGAGAGATGGCTTATTGAGGAAAGCCAGGAGATCCGGCAGTGAAAATGATTGGTCAACATATAAGCGAAAGCGAAACCAAGTAAACAATAGCGTTAAGACTGATAAAAGAAAATATTACCGACAGCTATTGGAAGCGAATGCATCAGAACCCAAAAAGTTTTGGAAAACTATAAAAGAGGTTTTTCCTGTAAACAACGTAACAAATAATACAACCTCGTCTCTCGTTCTGTTCGTTTTTCTCTACGATTGCAAACAAGCTGAAATTAGCGGTTTTCCCTTTGACGAACTTTGTATGGAAGCATCAGACCTCTAATGAGGACATAGTCACACGGTTTAGTTTCAAACAAGTTCAGGTTAGTGAAGTTTTAAGAAACTTAAAAAATCTAAAGCGCAAGAAGTCAGTTGGACTTGACGATTTACCGCCTGGCCTTTTTAAAGATACCGCAAATGTGATTGCAGAACCCTTAACTTATATTATCAATTTATCATCGAATACTGGGATCATTCCAATTGATTGGAAAAAGGGTAAGATTATACCAATTTATAAATCGGGATCTGCTAAGGATATTGACAACTACAGACCAATTACCATTCTACCAATTGCTTCAAAGATTCTTGAGAAGTGCGTGCACTCGCAAGTGTTAAATCATTTAGAGGAGAACAAAATGTTATCTGACTCTCAATTCGGTTATCGGCCTCATAGGTCAACGGAACTCGCTTCAACTCTTTTTCTTGATAATATCAGGAAAAATATGGACAAAGGTCAACTGACTGGAGCAATCTTCATAGACCTTCGTAAAGCTTTTGACACTATTAGTCATTCATTAATTGTGTCGAAGTTACCAAATTATGGAATTTCTGGAATAGAAAAAGAGTGGTTTACAAATTACCTATTTGCGCGTGAGCAGTGTGTTTCTGTAAATGGTGAACAATCTTCTTTTAAACCAGTTAAGTGTGGGGTTCCACAGGGATCAATCCTTGGCCCCCTATTATTTATCATACACTTTAACGGAATAGTTGCATCTTTGAACAATTGCAAGATCCTTATGTATGCGGATGATACTGTAATTTATTACTCTCACAAAGATATTGAAGTAATAGAAAAGAAATTACAGGATGATTTGGCCAGTATCACATCGTGGCTTCAACAAAATCAACTGATTATCAATATGAAAAAAGGGAAAACAGAAAGTATGCTATTTGGAACTGGGAAACGGCTGAGTACTTTGAATGGCCGTCAAATGAACCTAGAATGCAATGCTTCGAAGGTTAACTTTACGTCACACTATAAATACCTTGGAGTTCACTTAAAGTCAAGCCTAAACATGAATGATCACGTGAATAAGGCGTTTAAGAAAGCTTCAGGATATCTTAAACTTCTGGCAAAAACTCGCTCTTTCCTTTCTACGAAAGCATCTCTGGAAATATATCGGGCTATGGTAATTCCTGTACTAACCTATTGTTCTTTAGTGTGGACGTGCTCTACGACCACACAAAAGAAACGGCTCGAGAGCTTTGAGAAACGAGCGGCTAGAATCATATTTGGAACGTCAGAGGAACAAGCATCAAATAGAATGCCTTCGGTAGAAACCATCCAAAAGAAGAAATCCTGCATATTGACTTTTAGATGTTTAAACAATAATGTGTGTCAAAACTTCTTAAATTATTTCACTTTGATTGATTCTAAAGTAGCTACTAGAAATCTGGCTTTTAGTATAAAACTCCCGAAAGTGAAACTTGAAACCGCAAAGAAGGGTTTCTACTTCAACGGAGGAAAACTTTATAATGAATTACCTCTGGAAATTCGTAAATCTGACACTTTGCGACTTTTTACGAAGGGACTGAGTAAGCACTTAGCAATTTAGTCCATACGAATGACTTCTTTGACTTTTTTAACTTTTCTATTCTAATTAATTTTTTAATCGTAAAATTGATGTTGGTATACATAATTATAAAGATGGACTTTTAGCTTTTAAGGTTTAGACTATTAGTAAACAGGACCTCTGTTAATAACAGTTTGTGATTTTTTCACATAACTGATGGAGTTTTTATCCTGTATATAAATTCGTTTAATAATAATAATAATAATAATATTTAAAACAAACTTACCTTCGTTAACGTCGGTACCTTTACTCCCTTATTTTAGCAATTCTTTCGCCTTTTTTCTCAAAACGTTTTTTAAACTTACTTACCAAAGTCTTGCAAAAATGAAATATATTTGCAAGAAATCATCAAGTCATCCAATCAAGAAATGTTCGCTAATTTCGCTGTCGTCATGCAGTCGTTATAACGCAGATTTTAAATTGGACCAATCCAATCAGTGTTCGGTATTCATGACAGTCCTATGAGACGCCAAATATGACAAAATAGATCATAGTTGTGTGATATATATTACTGCAAATATATACAGTATAACTCGTGATGAATAAGTTACTCTTCCAAATATTTAAATATTGTAAGCGCGTGATACACATCACAAATCATGGTTTATATCACAACTCGTGATATAGATCACATTTCAGCTCGTGATATAGGTTACAAATCATGGTTTATATCACAACTCGTGATATAGATCACAATCCACAATGCAGCTCGTGATATAGGTTACAATTTCGCGTTCGGAATTACTTCATCTTATGACCCATATAGTGGACGGAAGGCTATTTTATATTCCGGGGGGGGGGGGAATGTTTCAAATTTTAAAATGTTTTCAGGGTTTCAAAATGGGGCCATGAATGGACCTTTCCCCTTATAACTAAAATTTTGATCAAATCTAGCCAAAAATTTTATCCAGCTTGAAAGAGCATCACAAAATTAGTAATATTCCAAAGTTTCGTTGCGAAATGTTGTAAAATGCGGATAATATAGCCTTGCAAAATTTGCAATTTTCAGTCATTTTGTATTACAAACGCGAAATTGATACTCAACACCCAATTGGGCTGTCAATTTCCCGTACGTAATACAAAATGACTGAAAAACGGCAAACTTCGCAATATTATTTTGTGACGCTCTTTCAACCTGTGATGAAATTTTTCTCTAGATTAAAATGGTCCATACAAGCCCAGAAATAAACATCGAGGCTTTCTTGAGAAATATTCCAAATCAAATTACAGAGGCGCGTCGTCAATTATTTTGTGACAATACTGTTGTTGAGTTTATCCAGCGACGCCTAGAAGACAATTTATTTGTGTAAATATACTTCTCCAGCGTGCAATAGAACGCATTGACGATCGACAAATTCAGAATGATCTTGGTATTTTGGTGTCTGAATTGCAATCATTGTGCAATAGTTACGACGCGTTTTGGATCAGAAATGAGAACTTAGCTAACCCGCTGAGTTTTACTTGTCCATTCAGAAGGAATTGTTCAAAAAGGAAGAAGACGATACAGTCTGCTGCAGAATGCTTTGACCAACTTACATGGGATACACCGCAGCTGATGGTCTCAAGTTGCTGCGGAAATTGGAGTGAGCTACCGAACTATGTCTATATTACGACGACGCCACGAGTACCGCTTACCAGTCAGCAACACAAGTGGGCCACGAAACACGTTTACTGAAATTACCCATACTGATTTGTGTAATGTTGTTCGAGAGGTTCTCCAGATTTACCTAACGCTGGTGAAACGTTTGTGTTGGGCGCCCTAGGGCAACCAAATATTCATATTCAACGATGGAAAGTGAGAAATGCAATTTGCAGTGTAGACTCTTTAAGTCGTGCTTTAAGGCGAAGTGTTGCCATTCTACGCCGTGTTTACAATTTTCCATGCCCTAATGCATTGTGGTAACTTTTGTGTACACCACCACAGAGTAGAGACATACAGAGTTATAACTACTGTGCCCATTTTTTTGTGCGCATGCTCGGCAAGTTACTAGATGCATGCATCCAATTGCATGACGACTCACTTTAACTGCTCGCGGAACTTGCACAGTTGATCATTTTTTGCCCGGTCACCTGAAAAAAGTGGGTACATGAAAACGTAAGCTTCCGCAGTGTTTACGACGGTCAGTTACAGC